ATGCACACAACCCCTCAGAAACAGCTTTTTCAACCCCCCTCAGGAACTCTCGTCTATAGGGGGGGGGGGTATAATTAAGTGGTGGCCCCATCTTCCCTAGTAAACAAGTCCGAATTGTGACAGATTTCTGGTCTTTGAGCTTCGCCAATTTCTCTTCAGCAACAAATCTCTTCAGATGCTTCTTCGTGACCTTTAGAAGTGATTGTGAAACATCCTCAAAATGAATACAACATTTATTCAACTTTAAATCTTTGAGTGACCAACTTGTTTCAGCTGCCATATTGCTTTTATCTGCACATGGCAGCTATGTTGCCATGGAAACACGCGCAATTTCAAGATGGCGTAAACGATACATTGATCGAATATTATCAAAGTTTCAAGTCTATTTTCTACCTATTGTGCACACTAGTGAACAGGGGCTTTGTATTTCATGAACAAGGAGACTAATATGCATTGTGTTATGGCGGAATTTTTTAGCCTCGCGACATGTGCAACGAACTTGAAAGATATAGCAGATATGTGACGGCCTACAATTGTTTTCACCATTGTGTTTGCATAATTGCATCCCTTTCAAATTTATCTATGGGGAATTTTATTGTTTGCACCCCTTGCAGGAAGGGTCAAGGGTCTATGCCAAGTCTATTGTTTTCAGTTTTTGAGGCTTAACACCATGCTGACTTGGTTTTATTAATGCATTTTTCAAAACAAACCCTTGTGAACTTACTTAGCAATCAGCATCAGGTTTGAGTGATTCAAACTTTGATAGTACCTTAAAAAAGGCTTGCTATACATAGGGATATCCCTCTTATCAGGCAAACCCAGCTTTCGCAGAAACATCCCCAATGTTTGAACCTCTTTTACTCTTTTAGCATACTGTTCTTATTAATAATTTCATTGGGGAAAAAATATAGGTGGGTGGGGTCTAGCCAGGTACCAATTAGATCATGTATCAAGGTTGTCAGAACTCAGAAGTGGGCAGGGGGTGGCATAAGCCCCCCCCCCCCCATATTCCATTTGTATGAGCAAACACACAAAAAGAACTAGAAAAGTGCAAAAGCAATTCAAATTTATTCTTGAGACCCCATCCCAATATTGATTTACTTCTGACAGCCTTGTGTGTATACATGTAATAAGTTTTCAAAAATATCAGATTTTCTAAGAAGATCTTTTCTTAATTGCAGGCTACTAAAGAAAACAAGAAATGAAACAAGATGGAATGAATATTTATTAAATTACAGATTTTGATACAAATTTAATTATGATACAAATTTATCTATTGTCTGAATATTATAAAAAGTACACAGGCCAAATAAAAATAATAGTTGGTTTCAGGTTTCCGACCGACCTGTCAAAAATATGACCGACCATAACCATTTTATTGACATTTCCCAGTAGGGATCATCTTTTTCATAAATATCAGAATATATAAATAGTCATCAGACTCATTTGCTACAAAGTATCATTATCTAGTCATGTTAATCCTTGATGTATTTGTTTCTCGCAAAACATGTGTAGCTCGCGGTTGATCCCGTGTGGCACGTCTGATTATGTGTGACAGTTGAGATAAAAATTTTTTTTAATAAAACGCTTTTCCGACCTACCTACCCATATAAAACATGGCTGTGAAACCTGAAATCAACTATTATTTTTTTTGGCCTCAGTAAGTACAAAATATGTAAATGCTCTACAATGTACAGACATATGTCACAATTTATTATAATCACATCTTCAAGGAACTTGTAAACATAATATTGCAGAGATCTGTAAAAAATATGCTTTCATTGTTAACTCAGAGCAGGCACAGATCTCGCCATGCAGACCTAGAAAAAATTTTTGTTAAACTTTTTCCTTGGCCTTTCCGGGCATTGCCACCACGCCCCGGCCAAAGCAAGCAGCAGCATCCTCCCCAGATATTTATCCCCCCCCCCCCCC